CGCGTTGCTTTTTAGCATATACAATACAACAGAGCAGTAATCTTGGTCAACTTGCCTAATGCAGGGTTAACTATCTTCAAGTAGGCATAAAAATATTAGTTTATGATTAGTGCTGATCCTGACAGGCACTTGCAAGGTTTTTTATTGACCAATTTAACTTCATGTTGTGAGAAGAAATACAAGATAGCAACTATGGAAGGAACATAATAAAAATGGCTATTAAACTTACACGAAGTCGAGGAGTGAAACGGAAGGAAAAAACCGTCAAGGGCGACAATCAAATCTGGCTAAGTTCATCAAGTGTTCATATGGATTAGCCCAGTTGGAGATCACCTCAAAATTGAAGTGAGAAGCCGAGGAAACCCTTGAATATAAAGTTCTGACAAAGAAGGAAGGTAGCCAGGCAGGGCATTTGTTCAAGAAGAGGGAAAGCACCAGGTGCATCTGAAATCCATTCACGCCATTCTGGCATGTCTTCAAACCTTAAAATTTTGAGGGATTCAAATGGCTTTATGTAGCTTCCGTAGAACTCAGGACCAACAACCTCAACTGCATAAAATGCTTCGACCTGGAGATCCTTTAGAGATGGTAACTGTCCAAGTGGAGGTAAGAAGAAGCAATATTTACATCTGCTCAGCACCAACTCTTCTATATTTGAGAAAGAAGAATCCCCTATCCATGTGGGAAACTTTGTACCCCCATAACCAAAAATGGCAAGGCTTTTCACATTTGTGCAAGGCTCTAATTTCTCAAGCACATCTCTCTCGTGTTGTGAGTCATTGGTAGCACCTTCCCATGTTAACTCCAACTGGTCAAGCTGCTTCTTACCCTTCAAATTGGCTTCTAATGTTTCTTGTGAATCAACGACATTATGGAGATTCCAAACACTAAGTTTGTCCCGCAGGTGCTTGAACTTTCCCAATTCTTTAGCACAGGACCCTCTTTGTTTTCCCAAGACAAAATCTGTCAACTTTCGGAGCATTATTAGCTTACCCATTTGAGATGGCATCCCTTTCAAGTTTGTCCCCCTAATGTCAAGATGTTGTACGTTGATCAATTTCGACATGTTGGGTGGCAGCTCCATGAGATATTCACACCAACTCAGGATTAATGCTTGCAAATAGAACAAGGTGCTCACAGTTTCAGGCAATCTTTCTATCAAAGTCTGAGAAAGGTTTAGGTATCGCAGGCGTTTCAAGCTGCCAAGTGAATTGGGCAACTGATTTAAAAGAAAGCATTTCGACAAGGATAGAACTCGCAAGCGTTTATGGATTCTTAGTAAATCATGCAATTTCCTGTTATCAAAATGTGCATTAATCCAAGCGTATGATAGTGGCAGAAATGTCTGTAGATGTTCGATTTCATGAGTGGCCTCGTACATCTTAGAGACTTTACCATATATTGATCTTGGATATGATAAATACCTTGTCCTTTTAGGAGCCTTGCACGAACCGTCACTCTCCAAGTCAAATTCTTCATTCTTATATTCAGAATTTCCATCCTCCAACTTAAACGTAAAGTCTCCAGGAACATACCCAGCTAAATCGTTTATTAGATCATGCATGACGTAATGTGATGAAAGTGTACCACTTGATCGTTGATGAAGTGATCGTGAGACAAGATCATCAAAGTAGTCATCTATTTCTTCAATCTTCTCTTTGCCCTTAGGCTGAACTGCAGATCCCAGCTCTGCCTTCCACAATAGGGTTAATTCCTCCTTTTCAAACTTATGACCCTTTGGGAATATTGCGCAGTAACCAAAGCATCGTTTTAGATGTAATGGGAGAAAATAATAGCTCACTTTCAGAGCTGGAAGAACATCTTCATTCAGCAGATCCCACAGTTTGCTCTTCAGTACCTTCTCCCATATTTCAACATCTCCGTTAGAACACAAGAGACCACCAAGTGTTCTTGCAGCTAAAGGTAGGCCGCCACACTTTCTCGCTATCTCTCGACCAATTCCTTCTAACGGTGAATGTGCACTGATATTCTTATCTAGTAATGCACATTTTGAAAACAACAACCAGCAGCTATCATTAGTTAATTCTTTCAGATGATAGATTGAAACAGTTTGCATGGATGATACTGCTTTTTGCATTGCTGATGCAACTCTTTCATTGCGTGCTGTGACAACAATCTTACTCCCCTGTGCTGCAAACTTCAAAGGTGTCAGTACGAAGCCCCATCCAGCGGCACGATCATTCCACGCACCATCCAGAAACAGCAATACTTTCTTCTCTTTGATTTTCTCCTCTAGCTGAAGATGAAGTTGATTTGGAGTCATGGAATCACAATTGGCTGTACCGACCTCCTTTAGGAGATCTTTTGTTATCTTGACACAATCAAATTCCTTGGAAACATAGACCCATGGCTTGATATCAAACCATTCCTGCACTCTATTGTCATGAAAGACATGTTGAGCAAGGGTGGTCTTACCGATGCCAGCCATACCTACTATGAGAATGACTTCTATGTTTTTGCCTTTTCCATCAGGAGATAACAGCAACTCCACAATGGTTTTCTTATGATCATCACGATCAAAAATTTCAGAATTCTCTGGCAAAGAAGTCTTTGGTATCGTTTCAGATGGTAGGTTTTTGTCAATGACCTCTTTCAGACCCAGGTCATCACTTTGACTTCGTAAACTTTGAAGAGTCTGACAGATCTCTTCTAACTTTGCTATTCTCTCTTTATGGCCCTTGTTAAAGGGGTTGAAGGGAGAAAATGACACCTGGTCCGTGCTGGTTTCTGAACCAGCTTCCAATCCCATATTCCATTCTGATATATGGAATTCAATCATGTATCAATTCTATCTAGAAATGAATCAAGAATTTGAATCTCAGAGCTTCATAAGCAATCTCGTCGAAGCAGTCCTCAGCTTCATAAACAGCATCTTTAAGCTCATCGAGCCAATCTTTCACATCCGAGTCAGTGATCTGCTTCTCCTCTGCGTCATTCAGGAGCCTGTTAACTGCTCCCATTGTTGCCTTCAAGTTCTTCAGCAGTCCATCATTAAACTTTCGGCATCTGAAGAAGTCGACAACCGGGCGAGAGGCAATTCTATCAAATAAAACCTGGAGGACGGCAGAGAGAAATGCTCCTCCTACCAACTCAGCAACCAAATTGTTTGGTTTCCACTGTATGCAAAAGGTGGTGAGTGTGGATGACAGAACTGGTGAAGGTAACAGAAACGAAGTAGAGAAAAGGAAGAAGAGGAAGAACGGAAAAAGTGTTTTGGTTTATACTGTTTTTGCAAACTGGTGTAAGTAAAGAGAACAAGTGAAGGAAAAAAGAACTATGATTGTGAATAACTGTGTACGTGTTTGTACGAATCTTATACTTCTGTTCCCTTTAGCCGTTGACTTGAAACTGTTGAACGAGCCAGGAAATTTCTTAACCGTTTCCACTCTTGCCGAAGAGATCTTCATTAGGTATTCACTTCAACCACACATGGATTTGCAGAAGAGGTTTTATTTACATTGATGGACACCATTTCAATCTAAATATATAAATTCTTGACAGATATGAGATACCTAAATCGACACTACCTTGTGCTTATTTGATTTTAATTTAAAAGAAAATGAGGTAGTAAAATTAAACTAGTGATCTTTTGATTTAAAAAAAAACAGATATCATATAAAAAAACATCAAAAATCTAAGAACTTAAATGGTTAAATAAAATCTTAAAAATAGTTTTATATTAACTCTCAAAAATTTTCATTGGCTAATCAGAAAACTATTTTACAGTAGCATGGCATGGGTTGGTCCATGAGTACTAATAGCTTGGTCGTCATTGCTTCCGCAAGACTTCATTCGAGACCATTTCTTGGCTTTACAAAGTTTCAATGCTGCCAAAGTCATACCGTTCACACGCAATTTCAAAATGTTGGTTTGATTATGAGGTCAGTCTTGACTGGCTACCTAATACACGACAAAAAATCTCCATATGTGGATTGTAAAAATATTAATGTGTGATTAAAATACGTTTAAAGTTAGTTGGAAGTTTCTTGCAAAAATGGATAAATGACTGAAATCTCTTAAAAACTGAAAACAATAAAAAGGTAGCCATTGTCCATGCTTACCAGCAAGAAACTTCCAAGCAGTTCAAAAAAAATGGATAAATGTCTCAAATCTTTTAAAAAACTGGAAACAATAAAAGGCTAGCCACCCCTGTTTCAAGGAATCGCAGTTAAAAGACAACATACAGTAGTTTAGGGACTCTTGGCCCTGAATGTACAAGTAACTAGAAGCGCTACAGAAAACCATTTTTTTTTTTTTTATGCAATTCAAAGAACTTTAAATTGGTGTGAGTTAAAAGTTTTCAATCCTTCATAGAGAGTTTGCCAGAAATCCAAGAACCAATCCCTCGTTCATGCATTTGTGAAGATTTGAAGATGAAGAGCCTTTGTCAAACATTAAAGTGAAATTTTTGTTTACAGGTCAAGGGACAAAATAAAATTTAGTAGCTTTACCAAATAAATGAAAGTCATACAATAAGATCATTTACGTATCCTGTAAATTTATTAAATTGCCCTAGCGTTTCTGTTTCTTTTTACTTCGTCAAAGTAACCCTGAGTGTGTTTGAGAAACGAGTGGAGGGGAAGAGAGGGGAGTAGGTCTACAATCTTCTTTGGGAAGTATTTCTCCATTGGTTAATAGTTTTTCACTTCGTAAGATTGAGCCAACCTTGTCCCACCCTTTACAACTTGCAAAATCTCTGTTTGTCAGCTGAGGGTTCTATTCATCCTTGAATTCTAATCGCATGGCTTCCCCAATATCCAAGTATTTTATGATTTAGATGAGAATCTATGCCCATAATAATTCTCAAAGCAGTTTTGGAAGGTAGAAGTCCAGACCAGAAACATAAACAGAGTAATACAAGAAATAGCGACTTAATTTGATTTAGCTTGGGGAATTTCTACCCAAAAAAAGACTTGGCTTTAAATACAAAACTTGTCTGGCTGAAAATCAATCTTATGGTTACAATATGAATGGTACAGTCAGTAAGACTTTCCACAATGTATCAAGCTCCCGGCCCCCAAGAAGAGACCAAATATTGCAGCACTTCCAACTGTAGTTCGCCCAATATACCTTACTTTCAGAAGTCCAGGAACCTGCATGTACAAAAAACAAAACTTAGTACCATCAGAAACTCCAATCGGCCAACCAGCAACACAGCAAAGCAGAGATTGTGTCTATCATTGAATCCTTAACTTGCAACAAGGACTTCAAAAACTATGAATGGTAACGGTGATATAGAATCAATAGAGAAAAGGATAGGAAAAAGGGCGAGAGATGCCTTAGTTTCAAGAGCCTAGTTTCAGTGCTGAAAATTTTATGCTCGTGACAATTTCTAAAAGCCTTTGCTTCTTGAGAATTCCAGAAGCACCCCTTGTACATTCAAGGGTATAGCTAAGTGGATTCTAAATAAGGTTGTCTAATTAAAGCCTTGGTTTCTTGCGAATTCAACAGCACCCCCTTTTATATTTCAGGGATATAGCTAAGTGGATTCTAAATAAGGTTGTCTATTTCTCCTCATGCAAATTCTCTCCTAACAAGCAAAACTCTGCACTAGCAAAGCTAAGCCTCCTATACTTGAGTCCCATTGGGTTGCAAAAGTATCATGAATCAAAGGGTAGACAAAACTAGGCATTAAGACTATCGTATTACATGAGCTGTTGAGAAAATTTCAAGGCTTATATCCACTAGCAAGCCATGAAGGAAAGGAGGGAGGAGGAGGCAAGACTTAGGGATTGAACTGCTGAAACACCTATTCCTCTTGAAAATACAAAGCTACTAGAATAATAGATTACAGCTAGAAACAAATGTAGGTGACCCTATGATTGGTTGGGGCAAGAAACTACCAAACTAAACATTTCCATTATACATGCTCAACGTAATCTGTCTAGCAATAGTACAACTATGCATCTACAAGAACTCCTCCAGTCAATTTCACATCTCTTGCTAGTTGCATCGGTAAGGAGTCCTTGACTTGCAATACCAACAATGCATGTTCAAATCTTCATAGAAAACACCTCATCCAAAAAAGTTTTTAATACCAATTTTTTTCCAAATTATCTTGCTTAATAAACTAACTTCAACGCAATCATAACAAAGTAATGACCATTTTCTATAACAAAAGCTATCAAATATTTCAAGATTTCTACTTTGAATACAGAAGCAAAACAATAAAAATCAAATAAACCCTTAAAAGAAAACTAGCGCAACAGAATAGTGACAATTATCAAGGAAATACAATATACAAAAGAAAAACACAGCGAGAGGTTACCCTATTTCTAATAGCTTCATAAGTCCCATAAACAGCACCTACACATAATAAACAAACAAACAATTATTAAAAAAACCCATCATTAATTTGTTAAAAACAAAAAAAAACAAAACAAAACAAAAAATTCAGAAAGCAATTATAGAATAGTAGTAATTTGATAAAGGAAATAATCACATTCCAAGAAACTAGCAGAATTGATCTTTCCAGTACCAAATAGAATAATAGGGTTTAAGGGTTTTTCTTTACTTTGAGGGAGGAGGTGAGGAACTTCAAAGGAACTTACCGACGGCGCCGCCAACAGCACCACCAACGGCAACGCCAGCGGTGACTCGAGCCAAGCAGCTGTCCCTTGCCATTTGAAATTGTAAGTGATAAGAGAATATCGAAGCTGGCGATGCTGGTTTGGTTACTATTGTCGCGGTTTTACCTTTTTAAATATCTTGGGCTCAAAGTTAAAGTTGGTCGACAAGCAAGTTGCTTATTTTGGGATCTAAAAGAAAATTTTTATGTTTTTTTTTTTAATTTAAAAATAAATTAAAACTTAATTCGTGAAATTATAAGTTGTTGGTATACAATAAAATTTTATTTTATTTTATTTTTTTATCCAATTAGTCATATTAATAATTTTTTAATTAAAAATATTCTCAAAATAGTTTTATTTTGTTCTATCGGAGGTATAAGATGAAGAGAATTTAATACATGTATAAAAACTTGAACCCGAGACTATTTATTTAAACAACTAAAACTCTTTCTACTTAAGTTAACTTTTGAATAAATTTATGAAACAGTTTTTATACACGACATTAACTCTACATTGACATTAAAAAATTTATAAAAATTTTACTTTTTAATAAGATTGGTGAGTTTTCCTCTTCGTATTGAAATTCAAATGATCGAATTTTAAAGTAACAACAAAAGTGCAAATTAGTTTGGTGATTAGGTGACAGTATTGGCAAATTTAGAGGTCCAAAATTCAAAAAAAAAAAAATTAATTAATTAATAATAATAATAAATAAATTCAGTAATTAAAAAAAAAAAACTCGAGGGCAAGAGAGATCAGTCCTTGGCTTTAGACTTCATAGAATTGACCAAGGTTGCTTTGCTTCAATTTCAAAAAAACCCACAAAACATAATCACTGGGACATATTAGCACCCCAGCAACATAATTTTTGCAGATAGAAGTACAGTGATCTGTTCTGAAGAGGAGCTACAACGCTGGTGTGTTAGCTTGATGCCAGAATTAATAAAACAACACAATTGAAGCATATTGTAGTGTCTAAATTATTGCATTTAATACAAAGAGAAGTACATCAAGGTTAGCTTACAGAACTATATCAGCTGGCACGTCATGCCATTTGCCACCTTTTTGCCTTCTGTTGTAAGTTCTAACTACCAAGGAGGGAGAAATTAAAAAAAAAAAAAAACTAATGGAATCATATCTATTTGCTAATAATCATAATGGTGTTCTTGATAGCCCATTGTGGTAGACAATGCCTAAACAATCATTCCCTCAAAAGGATAGCAGAACCTCAAATCCTTTGCAAACTCTAAACATTGCAACAAAACTTGAGCTTCAGACAAATCAACTCCCTCCTGCAAGCTGATACTCTTCATGCAGCTCCCTTGATAGTTCCGCCGCAATCACATACCACAGCACCCACTTTTTGCAAAGTTCAACCAGCAGACCGTGCAGCATCTCCCAAAACCAGTCATCCCATAACTGTAAATACGAAGATGAGATGGCCAGACATGTTGACCAAATAACTCTGGTCATCTCACATGTGCAGTGTCGTTTCCTTTTCCACCCCCTTGTATAACATAAGTAATGCCAGTTCACCCACCTCCCTACTTTCCAGGTTAGCCTTGGAGGGAACAATGTTCCTTCCTAATCTTAAAGGACTTCGAGGTTCCCATGACGAACTTGAAGACATCCTCTTGCAGTTTACATCAGAACCAGTAAAATGCTGGACAATTCAGAAATTTGACAGTAAATTGTGTCAAGATTGAAACAGTTGCTCTATCTTCTATATGTTTGACATATGAAAAAATTGAGCAATAAAATTTGACAGAGACAAACAATAAAGAAGAGACTGGCTGAATTATTCATAGGCACCTGCACGATGTAAAACTCAATGGCAGAATAAAATGAATAAAGTGTTAAGCAGAACCAAAGAGCTTGTAGCCTAGCGATAGTGATCTCTTGCAACAAGAGTTCACGAGTTCAAATCCTAGCAGACTAGTTCTGCGAGGAGCTTGAGTGGATGAGTGAAAAAAAGAAAAGTGTTAAGCAGAGGGTGCCAACTTTCTGTAGTTTAAAGAAAAAGGATAAAGATAAGTGCAGGGATGTTATTTTGTTATTTCCAACGACGCGATTCACACGGAATTACTTTCTATAGTTAACGTAAGGTAAAAGAGATGCAACGATATGAAGTGAAGGTAACTACTACTCACTACAAAGAGCACCTCAAACAAAGCCATTTGAACATGACACTTGTCTTGTTACTTCAACTATAGCCCAAAAATCAGAAAATGAATTATGCTAGCAGATTCTAATTAAATGGTTGTTGCTGTTTTGTTTCTCCCATCCAATTTTCTTAAAGATCTTAACTTCATTGTCATGACGATCAGGCAAGAAGCTAAGAACAAAAGGTAACACTCCTAATTTTGGAATTATGCAAAACGATATCAACTATTTCATCAAAACTGACCAAATGATGTAGGGGCCCAAATACCCATAAAAGCAATAGATTTCTATTTATTTCCATTTTAGAACAGAGAAACATGTGGGAGTTAAAGGCAAAGAAGTAACCTGGAGCAAGCATGAGCGGTGTACATAAATTCAAAAAAAATTTCTTATTTGTTTCAACTTTCAAGAATAGGAATCTACAACGACAAGAAATAGGATTCAAATACAATTGTATAGCACAATATATGATGTGAATGCTAGTGGTGCAAATACCCCAAATGTAAAATTCAATGCTTCAAAGGTAACTTGCAATTTGCCGTTAAAACGGCAAAATTTTACTTCACCACATTGGTATTTTTTTCTCAAGCCAGCCAATAGGAATTCTCGATCGACCAACTGAGCAAATTTGCATTGCCATGTAGATGACAAATATAAGAGTAAGAACGAATTTTGCAATTGATCAACTAGTAATCCTTATTTGTAATTAATAATTTGTACAAAATAGTCACAATACACAATATTAGTGTAGATGAAGCTTCATAACACGCAATAGTCTTAACAGGATCAATGCCTCATCAACATTCCCTACCATCCATTGAAACAAGAGTGTCAATGGCTCATCAAGATTCCTTCATTCCTATAATGCCTCATCAAGATTCCCTTGTTTGCAAAAAGGTTTTTGCAGAAAGAAAATGCAAGGTAAAATCGAGTAAGTCATCAAATATGAAGTGTGGCACCATGCCCTTGTAACAGCATCGCTTCATCAATATTCCCTAGCATCTCTTATAACAGCATCACTATTCCCTAGCATCTCTTGTAACAGCATTGCTTCGTCAGTATTCCCAAGCATCTCTAGTAACAGCATTGCTTCGTCAAGATTACCACGCATCTCTCAAAATTCCATAGCATAATAGTACATATAACAATGTCAACACCTCGTGTAACAGTGCCAATGCCTCATCAAAATTTCCTTATTTGCATAAACCATCCTCCAATGCAAAGTCGAAAAAAGTCATCAAATCTAAAGTATGGCACCATAATCAGATCAAATACCTCTCTAGCTTCATCACTTTACCATCACAAACAGTACGCATCCATTAAATAGCAACATTTGGCACACAACCTAATATTCATAGTTTTCATATCCATTATAGATTAGGCTGATACCTTAATTTGACATCTTGATTAAATTTCTACTCTTCACCAACTCCACTAACAAATAAAACTTCAAACCATGCCGAACTAGTTTTCAAATTGAAAACTACCAAATCCACTCATATGCAGCAATAAGGCCTGGTTAGTCAAGATGGTGAGAGTAAAATTCATTATGATTCCTGCTAATTCCATTTGCTTTTACTAAAAAAAACCACATCCTGCTTTTTCAACCTCGATACTGACAATAACGTAATAAACTCGACAATAGAAAGGCGGCGACCGAAGGAAGCTAAAGGCATCGACAATGAAACTCAAAATTACCTTACTAGTAGAACAGTGAAAAGAGGAAAAGATAGCCATACCCATTTGACGTTGAATGAAATATGGAGATTTCAGTAAGCAAAAGACTTAGCTCGAGTCATCGCCGCCACCATCTCTAAGATCTTTATTTCTGGTTGGTGCCTAGGGTTTTTGCCTGATGAGAGATTTAAAGAGAGCAGACTACACGTGTGAGAGATACCACCTCGAATTCTAGTGTCGTACAAGATGCTCTTTTATTTAGAATACTTTTTGTATGTATAGTAACTTTAAATACAAATTGCAAATTAGATTTTTTTTTTTTTTTTTAATGATTTGAGACCTTCATCCTCTTTTGTTTGAGTAAATTATAAATTAGTCCCATTGTTTTTTTAAGAGAATTAAATAGTATTTTTATTTCAACAATCAATTAATCCATCCTCATATTTTGTAACTTCATTATTTTTATTTTTTATTTTTTAATAAATAGAATATATTTTACAATATGAAAAAGGTTGAAAAAAAGAATATATTTTTAAAATAAAATATTATTAAATTAACTAAATCAACATTGATCCAAATACTAATTAATTAGTTTTTTGAAATAAAAACGACTATTTAATTTCTTTTACAAACTTAGAGAGACTAATTTATTGTTTTTTTTTTTTTTTGCATAGAAAGATTAAATTTATTTTTTTCCATAAGTTCTTACATAATCATTCACATTCAAAACATATATTCATAAAAAAAAAAAAAAAAAAGCTCAAGAAAACAAATTTGTTTAGATTTTCTTCTTCTTCTTCTTTTTTAGCATAGAGGTATTAAATTTGTTTTCTATAAGGTCTTACACAGCCATTCACATGCAAAATATATATTCATAACCAAAAAAAAATCTCAACAAAATAAATTTATTTAGCATCTAAACATTATTTCAAAAGATAAATTAGATAAACTGTTTTCATGTTTTTTCAAAACAATTGACAAAAATATATATATATATATTACTGGATACTTTTGATCCAATTTTCTTATTACCTAAAATTTTGTCACTTTTGTTAGAAATATTGACTTTATGGCATCCACCTACTAAATGATATTCCGTAGTTCTAATATTACGAATCGACTTTATAACAATCTTAATTTAAAAAAAAAAAAAAAGTGAATATAATAATCATATTCTTAATAATGCAATCTCCTGGAATCACTTAATATATAGTAAGCAATAATGTGCGCTTGATTGTCCTACATTATATTTTTTTCTAAGTTGGATGAAAATCCCTTGCAGAAAAATTTAACAAAAATATAGCTTCTGTAGTCATCATAAGTTTTAGATTATGAAAAAAAATTTAGATACGTCAAGAGTTATATTTCACTTTCTCACAAAAATATAAAATCCATCTTGAAAATAATTTATGGATTCTATGTTTTTATGAGAAAATAAAATACGACATCCGATATACTCAATAATTTCTTTTCTGAATATATATCCCGATTTTACCTACTCTTATATAATAAACTCACCTGTGTCCATAATTTTTGTGCACAAAAATTACCGAGAAACATTTCTTATGTGATCATCATAATTTTCTCTACATTGTATTTTTTCCTTCATTTAGATGAATATCCCTTGCGAAGGAATTTAACAAAAGAATATTTTATGGGATTATCATAACTTTCAGACAATAAAAAATTATTAGATATGTCAAGAATTGTATTTCTTTTTCTCATTAAATAAAGAATCCGCCATTAAAATAATTTTGGATTCCATATTTTTTTTTAGGGAATAGAATACGGTACCCAAATATTGCAAATAATGTTGCTAATTTGACCTGCTCTTATATAATAAATTCACTTGCGTCAATAATTTTTGTGCATGCCTCTTCAACAAGGTGGGAATTATTTATTTCAATTAAACATGAATCACACAAAATTATAAGTTTTTTTTTTTTTTTTTTTTTTGCTAACTTAGGCTTTGAATTTCAGGAGCAGATTATAAAGCAAATGGTATTTTGAGTTTTGGGAAGATGGTTTTCTACCCTGACAGAATTTATAAAAGTTTGTTTTTCATGCTAAATGCTTTATTATCTTTTTATATACAAGAAGGTTGTATAATGACGTTCAAAAAATAGTTGTTGCTTTCTTTTTCTTTAGAAATAGTCCAAAATTCAACGTTCTTTTTTTTTTTTTTTTTTGACCTATAAGCCAATTACTAAATAGTTTCCTTTTATTCTCTTCATACTCCTTTTATGAACATCACATCACATTACAATTTCTTAGAACAAGTTCATGATCACCTTCCAAACTCATTGTTCTTCATGTCTTGATCCATATAGATACAATGTGTAAAAGTCCAATTTACAGAATCTCCCTAAAAGCTTTATATTGATTTTTTTTTTTTTTTTTTTTGAAAAATCAAAATTGTAGATTAGGGTGGGATTACCGTATTCCTGATAGCTTCATAATTCCCTCCAACAGCAACGCTAGTGGTGACTCGAGCCAAGCAGCAGGTCCCATGGCATTTGTAATTGTAATCGATAAGAGAATTTTGGAGCCCGCAGCGATGGTTTGGTGGCGGTCGTTGTTTTGCCTTTTTAAATAGCTCGGGCTCATTTGATTAATAAAAAAACAAAATAGCTTGGGCTCAAAGATAAAGTTGGCCTACAAGCCACAGGTTACTTTTTTATGATCTGAGAGAAAAAAAAATTATGATTTTTTTTCAATTTAAAAAATAAATTAAAACTTAATCCATAAAGTTAAAAGTTGTTAATATAGTACCAATATTTTTTCAATCTAACTAGATAGACTAGCGTTTTTCTTTAAATCAAGAACATTCTGGAAACAGTTTATATACGGAGATCAAAAATAATTTTTTTCCCAATTCTATTAAAAAGAAAAATATCTACGTCGAGAGTAAAAAATTCATGGTAACTTCACTTCTACATTTATTAAAAAAGGATGAGTTTTCATATCGAAATTCATTTGAAATTTTTAAGGAACGCCAAGGACTGCAAACTAGTTGGTATAAACTCCGTAAGATTCTCAGAAATTTTGGCTAATCATGCTTCATAAAGTTCTTGTTTTTGTACCTTCAGAAACGTTGAAATTATGCAAATTTTGATTACGCAAATGGAAATAGACCAATCGTTGTACCGAGCCAAATACCCATAAAAGCAATTACACTACATGATAACCCTCAATATATCATGTTTAATCTGATATATTTAGAAGAGAGAGCCGCATGGGAGCTAAAGGCAAAGAAGCAACCGGATGCAAGCAAGGACACAACACAAAGGAGAGAAAAGAGAGAGCGGTGTACATAAATTCAGCAAAATTTTCTTATTTGTTTCAACTTTCAAGAATAGGTGTCTACAACGACATAAAATATGATTCAAGTACAATCTCGTATAGCACAATAAATAATGTGAATGCCGGTGGTGGGGGGATGCCCAAATGTCAAACCAAATGCTGCAATGGTTACCTCACCACATTGGAATTTTTTCTCGAGCCAGCCAACAGGAATTCTCGATCCACCAACTGAGCAAATTTGCATTCCCATGTAGATGACAATGTTGTCAATGTAAGAGTAAGAATGAAGTTTGCAATTCATCATTAATAATTCTTACAAAATAGTCACAATACACGATAATAGTGTAGATGTAGCTTCACAACTCGCAACAGTCAATGCCTGATCACCAGTCCCTACCATCCATTGAAACAAGAGTGTCAATGCCTCATCAGACGCCTATTCCTATAATGCCTTGTCAAGATTCCCTTGTTTGTGAAAAGGTTTTTGCAAAAAGAAAATGCAACGAAAAAGTCCAATAAGTCATCAAATTTGAAGTGTGACAACATGTCTCATCAGGATTCACTTGTTTGCAAAAACATTGCCTCTTGTAACAGCATCGCTTCATCAATATTCATAGCATCTCTCTCATCAATATTCCTAGCATCTTTTGTACCAAGATCGCCTCATCAATATTCCGGCATCGCCGTATCAATAGTACATATAACAATGCCAACACCTCAATATTCCCTAACTTTGCAGCCTTGCAGCATAGCACAGTGATATATATAACAATGCCAACACCTCAATATTCCCTAACCTTGCAGCCTTGCATAATCATGCATGTAACAATGCCAACAATTTAATATTCCCTAAACTTACAGCCTTGCAGCATAGCATAATGGTTCATATAACAATGCTAACACATCATGTAACAGTGCCAATGCCTCTCAAAATTTCCTTATTTGCAAGGAAACACCTCATATAACAGTGCCAATGCCTATCAAAATTTAATTATTTGCAAAAACCATTATCCAAATGCAAAGTCGAAAAAGTCATCAAATCTGAAATATGACACCGTAGTCAGATCAAATAACTCTCTAACTTCATCAATTTGCCATCACAAACGATATGCATTCATCAAATATTAATATTTGGCACACAAGCTAATATTCACAGTTTTTATATTCATTTTAGATTAGGTTGATACCTTCATCCGCCATCTTGATTAATTTTTTCCTCTTCACCAACTCCACTTTCAAATCAAACTTCAAACCATGCCGAACTAGCTTTCAATTTGAAAAACACCAAATCCACTGGTTTACAAGCAATAGGCGTGGTTAGTCAAGATGGTGAGACTAAAATTTATTATGATTCCTGCTAATTCCATTTGTTTACACTAAAACAACACCATATCCTGTTTTTTCAACCTCAAAACTGACAATAACGTAATAAACTCGACAATAGAAGGCCGGTGACCGAAGGAAGCTAAGGCATCAACAATGAAACTTAAGGTTACCATACTCGTAGAACAATGAAAAGAGGAAAAGAAGGACATACCCATTCGATGTTGAATGAACTCTGGAGATTTCAGTAAGCAAAAGACTTGAATGTCATCGCCGCCACCATATCTAAAATCTATCTTTCTGGTTGGTGCCTAGGGTTTTTGCAAGATGAGATATTTAAAGGGACCAGACTACACGTGTGAGAGATACGGCCTCGAATTCTAGTATCTTTGAAGATACTTTATATATATATATATGATTTGAGACGTTTATCCTAGTTTGTTTGAGTAAATTATAAATTAGTCCCATTAGTTTTTTTTTTTAAAGAGAATCGAATAGTCTGTTTATTTCAACAACCAATCAATTCATCATCATATTTTGTAACTTAATTATTTTTATTTCTTTAATAAATAAAAATATGAAAAAGATTGAAGAGAAAAGAATATATTTTTTAGAATAAAATAATATTAAATTAACTAAATCAATATGGATCAAAATACTAATTAATTAGTTTTTAAAATAAGAGCAACTATTTAATTCCTTTTGCAAACCTAAAGAGACTAATTTATAATTTACTCTTGTTGTTTGTTTTTTTTTAAAAAAAAAAAAGCATAGAGATATTAAATTTTTTTTCCATAAAGTCTCACATAAGTCATTCACATTCAAAATATATGTTGATAAAAAAAATCTCAAGAAAACAAATTTTTTTATTTATTTATTTTTTTTAGCATAGACATATTAAAATTGTTTATGGTAAGATCTTACACAGTCATTCGCATTCAAGATATATACTCATAACAAAAAAAATCTCGAGAAAAAAAAATTTATTTATCATCTAAACATTATTTCAAAAGTTAAATTAGATAAATTGTTTCAATGTTATTCTAGAACAATTGACAAATTTCTTTTTCTTTTTCTTTTTTTGTACTGGATACTTTTGATCCAATTTTCTTATTGCCTAAAATTTTGTCACTTCTGTTAGAAATATTGTCTTTATGGCATACACGTACTAAATGATATTCCAATGTTCTAATATTACAGATCTACTTTACAACAATCTTTTTTTTAAAAAAAAAAAAAAAAAAGAAGTTAATGATCATATTTTTAATAAAGCAATCTCCTATAATCACTTAATATATTGTAAGCAATAATGTGTGCTTGATTGCCTTAAATTGTATTTTTTTCTAAGTTGGATGAAAATCCTTCGTGGAAGAATTTAACAAAAATATATCTCCTCTAATCATCATAAATTTTAGATTATGAAAAAATTATTAAATATGTCAGGAGTTATATAACTTGAAAATATATATATTTCACTTTCTCACAAAATTATAAAATTCATCTTGAAAATAATTCATAGATTCTATGTTTTTATGAAAAAATGAAATACGATATCCGATATATTGAATAATATCTCCTTTATATATATATATATATGCATGCCATTTTGACCTACTTTTATATAATAAATTCACATGTGTCCATAATTTTTGTGCACAAATAATACCGAGGAATATTTCTTATGTGATCATCATAATTTCCCCTAAGCTGTATTTTTCCTTCATTTGGATGAAAATCTCTAGGGAAAGAATTTAACAAAATAATATCTTATCTGATCATAATAATTTCAGACTATGAAAAATTATTAAATATGTCAAGAATTTTACGCCATTTTCTTATTAAAATATAGAATCCGACACGAAAGTAATTTTGAATTCCATGTTTTTTTTTTCTAGGAAATGGAATATAGCATCCAATTATTCAATAAAGTACCCAATATACTGAATTTCCCTAAAAGCTGTATTTTGTATTTTTTTTTGGAAAAATCAAAATTGTTTCCCTAATGTTGGTAAAGATTACAGTATTCCTAATAGCTTCGTAACTCCCATAAACAGCACCAACAGCGCCACCAACGGCAACGCCAGTGGTGACTCGAGCCAAGCAGCTGTCCCATGGCATTTGTTATTTGTAATTGATAAGAGAATGTTGGAGCCGGCAGTGATTGGTGGTGTTGTCGTTCTGCCTTTTTAGATAGCTTGGCTAATTTGATCAAGAAAAAAATAAGCTTGAGCTCGAAGATCAAGTCGGCCTAAAAGCCATAAACTACTACTCAATACAAAGACCACCTGAAACAGGCATTTGAACGTGGCACTTGTCTTGTTACTTCAACCATAGCCCAAGAATCAGAATATGAATTATGCTACAATTAAAATGGTTGTTGCTGTTTCGTTTTTCCCCATCCAATTTCCAGAACGATCTTAACTTCATTGTCATCACAATCACACAAGAAGCTAAGGGAAAAAAAAAAAAGTAGATGGAATTTTGCAAAATGATATCACCTAAATGATAAAACCCAAATACTCAGGAGACCAATTACACCACATGATAACCCTCAATATATCATGTTTAATCTGATACAATAATCTTAGGAATTTCACCAGTTAATAGACATTTTCTATTTATTTCCATTTTAGACATGAGAAACACAAGGGAGCCAAAAGCAAAAAGTAACCGTGTGCAAGCATGCACAAGCACACTAGCACTCACACACGAAGGCGAGAAAAGAGGGAGCGGGAGCGGTGTACATAGACTCAGCAAAAATTTCTTATTTGATTCAGCTTTCAAGAACTGTCTACAATGACATGGAATATGATACAAATACAACCTTGTATAGCACATAATGATGTGAATGCCCCAAATGTCAAATTAATTGCTACAATGGTAACTTGTAATTTGCCGTTAACAAAGTAGAATAAGTATTTTGAAGTTTACTTCACCTTTACACTCAACAGCGGTATTTATTTTTTCTCCAGCCAGCCCAGCAAATTTGCATTGCCATCTAGATGACAATACATAATACAGTCACGATACAAATAGTAGTGAAAGTGTGGCTCATGTCTCATCAAAATTCTCTTGCATGCTTCCCCACTTGTGACCCTGTCAATGCCTCCTCATCTCTTGTAATAGTGTTGCCTCTTCTCCCCTCCCCAGGTAAATAACAGTGTCAATGCCTCCCCTCTCCTTGTAAGTAAGAGTGTCAACTCCCCTTTTAAATAACAGTGCCAACACCTCCTAAAATATCTCTCATCTCTCCTCTCATTGAGACTGTCAATGTCTCCTCCCCTCCCCTCCCCCTTATAGGTAACATTGTCAATGCCTCATCTCCTCTCTTCCCCTCCCCTTGTAAGTAAGGGTGCCAATGCCTCCGCTCCTCCCCTCGCCTCCCCTTGTAGGTAACAGTGCCAATGCCCCCTCCCTCCCCTTCCCTTGTTTTTTTTTTTTTTTTTTTTTTACACTCACAAACCCAAGGCTCCTAGAAGAAATCACTGGTTCAAATCCTAGCAAATCCTAGCAGAAGGTTTGCTAGGATTTGAACCCTTGACCTCTTATTATAAGAGACTACTACTACTAGGTTAGAAGCTCTTTGGTCTCTCCTTCACTTGTAGGTAATAGTGTCAATGCCCTACAAGTGTCAATGCCTCCTCCCCTTCCCTACTCTTGTAGGTGACAATGTCAATGCCTCCTCTCCTTCCCACCCCCTATAGGTACTCCCCTTGTAGGTAACAGTATCAATCAATGCCTTCCCTCCCCTTGTAGGTAAGGGCATCAATGCCTACAAAAATATCTCTATTAATTTCAAAAAATAGCATCAAATATCACTTTATTGGACTTAAAACCATACAAAATTAGTTTTCAAATCGAATAACACAAAATCAACACAATATGCAAATAATAAACCTAGTTAGCAAGATGGTAAGAGTGTAAACCATTATGATTCCTGCCAATTCCACTTGTTTGGACTAAAACAACACCATGTCGTGTTTTTTCAACCTCATAACTGACAATAGCATAATAAACTCGGCAATGAAAAGCCGAGGATTCATACAAAGCATGTGACTGAAGGGAGTTAAAGCGTCATCGATGAAAGCAAAGGATACCTCACTACCGCTACTGCTGGAAGTAGAGGAGTGAAAAAAGAAGGCCATACCGATTTGGTGTTCAATGAAATATGGAGATTCATTGAACAAACGACTTGGCTCGACTAATCGGCGCCGCCATCTCCAAGATCTTTCTTTCTAGTGGATGCCTAGGGTTGTTGCAAGAGAGGAGATTTATAGGTGTTCAATAATCAATTCATCCTTATATTTTTAAATCTATTTATAATTTAATTATTTTTATTTTTTATTTCTTTAAATAAATATAAGAAGTTGAAAATATAGAAAGATAGTAGACAAGAAAAGATATTTTTACAATAAAATAATATTAAATTAATCAAAATTAGCGTTGAACAAAATACTAATTGATTAGTTTTTGAAACAAGAATGATTATTTAATTTATTTTATAAAATTAAATAGATTAATTTATAATTTACTTTCATTGTTGTTGATTTTATTATTATTATTATTATTTGAGACAGAGAATCCCACGTGCATAAATCAATGAATTTACAGTTATTTTACCTTTTCAATTGCATCTAAAGAAAAAAGAACATTCTATTGTGGCACCCTATCAATTGTGAACTTTGCTCACATAGAACGATGCAGAATTTCAGTATAATATACTTCTATTTAGTCATTGTTGTATTTTGGTTGCAACTTGCAAGTGTTTTTTTGAAAGGTCACTAATAAAATATCGCATCTAGAAGCCTATTTACTCAAAATTTAGACAAAAATAGAATTATGATGCTAGCATATTGGATAGAGACGGTCGATATTTTAATAGGTAAATTAACATCTCAATTGGTGAAAGAATCATCGTAAGCCCCCAAAGATAGATTATTACAAGCCATTCTTGGCATTCAGATATCTACTTCCAAGGAAACTCGTCTAAAACTACCGATAGGCAGTAGGGGTCGAGTTATTGATATTTTTTTTTCCTATTTAGCCATTATTAATTATTAGTTTTTATATGATGGAGGATCATCTCTCATTATGTATTAACCCACGTACCTCTCGTTGAGAAGAAAAAAAAATTGATAGATACTAGTGAACCTAACTTTATATGAATGAAGGAGCAACACCAATAGTATTTGATAATTCCTAGCCTATCATCATGTTTGATTTTTTTATTTTCGAATTCTTTTTTATCTGACCAAATCAATATGATATAAAAACATTAATGATTTTCTATCCAAGTAAAAATAAATTATTCATATCGAGACGAAAAAATTCATAAAAATCACACCCCATAAATTTTCGCTTATTTTCCATCATGCTTCATACAGTTATTGTTTTGAGAGACCAAAATGAAAGAATTTTCCCCAAGAAAGCCAAAAAATAATAATAATAATAATAATAAATACATGAATAAAATAGAACTCAAGGGAGACCGGAACTTTTAGACCTTCATAGAATTGATCATGTTTGCTTTGCTTCAATTTCAAAAACCCCACAAAACAAACTCGCTGGGAGATATTAGCAACCTGGCATCAAATTTTTTTTATAGAAGACCATCTCAAGGTCTGTCGTCTGTACAGTAATCTGTTTTGAAGATCTGTTCTGAAGAGGAGCTACTGCACTTATGTGTCAGCCTGATGCCAGAATTAATAAAACAACACAATTGAAGCATTGCATTTGATAGAAAGAAAAGTACATCAAAGTTAGCTAACAATAACTATATCAAGTGGCACATCATGTCATTGCATTTCTCTGCAATGTGTGCCCTTTCTGCCTACTCTTCTAACTACAAAAATACTAATGGAATCAAAACTATCAGCTAAACATCGTATCGGTGCCTCGTCAAGATTCCCTACAAATTTAAGATTCCCTAGCCTCTCTTGTAACAATGTCAATGCTTCATCAAAATTCCCTAGCATTTCTTGTAACAATGTCAATGCCTCGTCAAGATTTTCCTAGTTCCTAGGATCTCTTATAATAGTATCAATGCCTCATCCTCTTTTGGAACGATGTCAATGCCTCATCAAAATTTCCCAACATCTCTTATAACAGTTTCAAGATTTCATAGCATATCTTGTAAGAGTGTCGATGCCTCGTCAAGATTTTCATTAAGATTTCCCGAATCTCTTGTAACATTGTCAATGTCCCATATCACAATATCGTTGCCTAACAATGCCAATGCCTCGTCAAGATTCGTTAACATCTCTTCTTGTAAGAATAACAATGCCTCTTCTTCTAAGAATGACAATGCATAATATAGCAATCGAATAAGCCATCAATCGAATAAGTCATCAAATCTGAAATGTGTCATCAACGTTATATCAAATACATTTCTAGCTTAATTACCTTAACATAGTAAATGATACTAAGTAATAACATTTAACGAGCAACCTAATTTTAGGTTGATAATCTATTAACACTGTCTATTCTAAGAATTAAACATCTTGATGCCAACTCTAAAACCGTCTTCTTTGCCAATTCCGAAATTATACAAAACCAATTTTCAATCGAATAACACAAAATCTACACGATATGCAATCATTAAGACCATAAACCATTATGATTCCTGCTAATTCCATTTGTTTGGACTAAAACAACACCATCTCGTATTCTTTCAACCTCACAACTGACAGTAACATAATAAACTCGATAATAAAAGGCCTAAGATTCCTCCAAAGCATGTCACCGAAGGAAGCTGAGGCGCCATCAATGAGACTAAAGGATACCTCACTACTGCTTCTGCTGGAAATAGAAGAGTGAAAAGAGGAAAAGAAGGCCATACCCAGTTGATATTCAATGAAATAAGGAGATCTCAGTAAGCAAAAGACTTAGATCGAGCCAACGCCGCCAACATCACTAAGAGCATTATTTTCTGGTTGATGCCTAGGGTTTTCGCAAGAGAAGAGATTTAAAGGGAGCAGATTACATGTGTGAGATATACCACCTCAAATTCTAGAATCTTCTACAGAACTTTATATATATATATGATTCGAGACTTTCATCTTAATTTGATTGAATAAATTATAAATTAGTTCCATTGGCTTTATAAAAGAATTAAATAGTTTTTTTTTTAAGTTTTAATAATTAATCAATGCATCTTTATATTTTTAAATTTAATTGTAACTTAATCATTTCATTATTTTCTATATATTTTATTTTAAAAATATATAAAAAAGTGCAAATATGTAAAGATTGACAGAGAAAAAATATTTTTTAAATAAAATAATATTAAACTAATCAAAATTAATATTGATCAAATAACTAATTAATTAATTTTTGAAATAATAATAATTATTTAATTCGTTTTACAAAACTAAAAGAACTAATTTATAATCTAATTTCTTTTCTTTTCTTTTTTTGGCATAGAAAGATTAAATATCAATTCATAAAAAAATAAAAAATTTCTCGATAAAACAAATTTATTTATCATCCAAAAACAAATTTCAAAATTTAAATTAGATAAGTTGTTTCAATTTTTTTTAAAATATTTTTAAATAAAATAATATTAAATTAATCAAAATTAATATTGATCAAATAACTTATTAACTAATTTTTGAAATGATAATAATTATTTAATTTTTTTTACAAAACTAAAAGAGCTAATTTATAATCTAATTTATTTTTTATTTTATTTTTTTTTTGCACAGAAAAATTAAATATGAATTCATAAAAAATAAAAAAGTTCTTGATAAAACAAATTTATTTAGCATCCAAAAAAAAAATTCAAAGTTTAAATTAGATAAGTTGTTTCAATTTTTTTCTTTGTTTTTTGAAAACTGTTGACAATTTATTTATTTATTTATTTTGCACTGTATGCTTTTGATCCAACTTTCTTATTGCGTAAAATTTTATGACATCAATTAAAAATATTGACTTTATGGTATACCCTTCCTAAATGGTACTCAAAATTCTAATCATACATATCGATTTTATGACTTTTTTTTTTGAAAAAAGTGAATATAATAATCATATTCTTAATAAGGCAATCTCCTAGAATCACTTAATATGTTGTAAGCAATAACGTGCACTTGGTTGCCCTACATTGTATTTTTTTTTTTTTTAATTTGGATGAAAAATCCGTTGTGAAAGAATTTGACCAAAAAAAAATATTTTTGAAATCATCATAAGTTTTTAGATTATGAGAAATTATTAGATATGTTAGTGTTATATTTCACTTTCTCACAAAAATATAAAACCAATCATAAAAATAATTCATGAATTCCATAAATTTTATGAGAGAATGAAATACAATATTCAATATACTAAATAATTCTTCCTCGAGTATATATGTCAATTTAACCTACTCTTATACCATAAATCCATATAGGAATCCAAATACTCATAAGAGCAATTACACTACATGATAAATCTCAATATATCATGTTTAATCCGATATAATAATCGGGGCCGACTTTATAATATATGTGGCCCTATGTAAAATAATATTTTAGAGACTCTTTCATAAAATAAATAAATATTAAATATTTTTTAATTTTTTTTTTTTTTTTGCTTTCCGAGATGCAAAATCTCTAATTAAATTTTTGTATTCAAGTTTACAAAGCAAATCTTTTTTCAATTGATAATATAGCCAAATTACTTAATCTTTATTATGACATAGTTGAACGTAAATAAGATTTTATCAATTTTAATTTTAAAAAACTTCTTTCAGTCGAAGCTACGATAATGAGGGATAGTTAATAGTATTTTATATGCTATCCATGCATTTGAAAAAGAATTTACCTCTTTTATAAAATTTAGTATGGAAAGTGGTGTTTTCATTTCCATAATTATAATTTCTTTTACAACTTTTAATTCGAAAATAAATCTAAACCATTAATATCAAAAAGCATATCGTGCTTTAGAAAGTTTTCAAGATTTAAATTTTTTTTTTCAGAATATCAACATCAAGTGACTTTAATTTTTATGCACTATAAAGAAAATCAAAATTATCTTCATATATTTTAAATTGTTCAAATCTATTTTGAAGAAAGGAAATCACATAATCAAGTAAATATGAAAAATAATTAATTCTAAAAGATTCTTCAACGAGATAATTTCATGTCTTCATTCTCAATCTCATCAAATTGTTTCTTTCTTCTTATTGTACATTTTTCACGAAATTTTGGTTTTATATTCATTTGCACTTGTAATTTTCTTAGCTAAGATCATAGAAGATGTAAATCCATTTTCTCTATAGCTTTTTTTAAAAAAATAAGATCTTTCAAGTGGTCTATTGCAAGAGCAATATCCATATCTTTAGATTGTAAATATTTACTAACCGTATTAACAGCAAACAACATATCATACCAAATAATCATGCCTCATAGAAATTCAAAATTTTCAATCTCATATGTTGCTAAAGAAATGGCTTCACTTTCTGTTTTAGGATCCTCATTAGTTTACGCTAATTGATATAAAACATTTCTTATTTGTTGAGCTTGAAATCTAATTGCTTTAACACTTTAAATACGACTTTTTCAACGTGTTTGTGATAATGGCTTAATGTCAAATTAGAAACATGATCCTGCAAAATTTTCCATTTTTTTGTAGAAGAAGAAAATAATGAATATATTCGTTGTGTCACTCCAAAAAATGTCATAGCACTAGCACATAAATTAGCCATATCACAAAGAACTAAATTAAGATTGTAACGACCACATAGTGTATAAATGCTCTAGAATTTATATCTAATAATCTTTTTATTCACCTTGATGTTTACCTTTCATATTAGGTCCATTATCATATCCTTGCCCTCTCACATCATTTACGTCAAGTTCAAGAGTTTTTATCTTATTAATCAATCTCATTATGTCGAAAAGCTTTTGAAAAAATATGATTTTTTAGATAGCAAACATGTGGGGACACCACTTTGATACTACTATGCATCTATTTCTAATAAAAAATGATAATGACATTAGCTATCAAAAGAAGTATGCTAGTATTATTGGTAGTCTTAGGTATGCTACGGATCGTATAAGGTCTAATATTGTTTTTACTTGTTAGGGTACTAGTAAGATTTACTAGCGAACCCAATGCTTAACATTTGAATGCAATAACTTGTCTAATGAGATACTTGAAAGGTACAATGAATTATAATTTGTTATATCAAAAGTATCGTACTCGTACTTGAAGGGTACAGGTGATGCTGATTGGAACACCTTATCCGGTGATTTATTATCTACGACTAGATATATTTTTACTTTAAGTGGAGGAGCAATATATTGGAAATCTAAAAAACGATCAATAATTGCAAAATCCACTATGAAGGCGGAATTTATAGCTTTAGCCTCAATCGATGACGAAGCGGAGTTAGTTACGTGATCTTTTGTATGAAATTCCTATGTGGGAAAAACCTATACCACATGTCTTAATTCATTGCGATAGCACAACTGCTATTGGAATTGTACACAATAGATATTATAATGAAAAATCCGGATATTTTAGAAGAAAATACAATACCGTGAGTTCATATATAAACAAAAGTGTCATAAATATTGATTACATCAATACAAAGGATAATTTAGCTTATTCTTTCACAAAAGCTTTGGCCAAAGATAAGTTTGGATAACACCGAGGGGGATGGATCTAAAGCCCAAAGAAAAATAAACAACCTATGAGGATACTCTACCTAGTTGATTGGAGATCCCAAGATCTAGATTCAAAGGAAAAAACGAATAATAAGAGTAGTTGATTATCATGCACTAACATATTTTTTCATCTCTATGGTGTAAGTGCATGAATTTCATAACAAAAAAAATGTGAACTTTCTTTAGAGGAAATTTTTAATGTGGTATATAATTTTTATTAAATGGGATGTTAGAGTTATGAGAGCATCCTTGATAGAAACACCTATATGAGTGAGGAAGTGGGGTCGCTTCCTATGAGAATAGGGCTAATTCTCTAGAACATTCATAGAAGTCGGGATGAAGCATAAGGCCATTAATGTGCCGGCTCCGAAACTTGTCATAGAATACCTAAATATAATATATGTGATACAATATTTGTTTTACTTAAAAAGAATAGAAAAAGGTATGTTTCAAACATCACATGTATTGTTTGAAATTGTCACAATAAAGGTTGTTATTGTGAGTTGCAAAAGTAACTTGAAAAAAAATAAAAGCAACGAGTACAATGTCATTATTTTGTACCATTTGCTTTTTAATGCTTTAAATTCATGGCTTTAATTTTCTTCTAACGACTTTTTTTTTCCAGCTATATATATGCGTGCTTTTCTACCATACGAGACAAAAAAAAA